AAAAAAAAAAAAAAAAAAAAAGAAAAACACAAAACTGGTCATAAAAGAAGCTGAACAGACAAGGAGAACAAATCCAAAGAGACAGTTCAAAAAAGCCTAAGACAAATAGAAAATCTGAAGAGGAGAAAGAAGAAAAGGACTAATCAAGTAACAATACTAGTGGCTAAATTTTCACCTAAAATAAGAAATCAGCAAGTAGTTCAAAGAGCTAAAAGAAAAAAAAACAACCTGTCAACTAAGAATTCTTTGTCCACCTATACTTTCCTTCCTAAACAAAGGCTAAAGAAATATATTCCCAGATGTAGACAATTTACTGCCAGCAGCTACACCTTATGAAAAGACACTGACAAAGTAACTGAGAAAATGCTGTGAAGGCTATGTTAACCAGTTTGATAAAAACATTTCAAATTGTATATAAAATCAGCACATTGTACCCCATGACTGCATTCATGTACACAGCTATGATTTAATAAAAAAAAAAGAAGAAGAAGAAGAAAGAAAAGACACTGAAAAGGCACAGCGCCTGTGGCTCAAAGGAGTAGGGCACCGGCCCCATATGCCAGAGGTGGTGGGTTCAAACCCAGCCCCGGCCAAAAACTGCAAACAAACAAACAAAAAAAAGACACTGAAAAAAGTCTTACAAGGTAAAAAGACAGGATAGCAAATAATTATCTCATATCCACAGGAAGAAATAAATACTGGAAATGGGAAATACATAGATCAGTAGGAAAGACTGTAACAAATAGGCTTGGTGCCTTAGCTCAAGAGGTTAGGGTACCGGCCACATACACTGGGGCTAGCAGGTTCGAATCCAGCCCAGGCTTGCTAAACAATGACAATTACAACAACAAAAAATAGCCAGGCATTGTGGTAGAAGCCTGTAGTCCCAAGTACTTGGGAGGCTGAGGCAAGAGAATTGCTTGAGCAGACAGACCGCTGGAGGGCCTGACTGCAGGCCCCGGGACGAGTTGGCTGCTAAGCAGGATAGGCAGCTGCAAAAACACTTGGTGGGCCACATGGCAGGCTGCATGTGGCCTGCAGGCCATAGTTTGAGAGCGCCTGGATTAGCCCATGCAGAAGAAAGAATCTCAGAGGTAGAGGACAAAGCTTTTGAGATATCTCAGATACTTTTTTTTTTT